GCTCCTCATCACTGTCATAACTGCCTGAGCTCCACCTCCTGTCAGGTCAGTGGCAGCATTAGATTCTCATAGGAGCACAAACCCTACTGTAAACTGTATATGCAAAGGATCTAGGTTGCAGGCTCCTAATGAAAATCTAATACCTGTTGACCTGAGGTAGAGCCCAGGCAGTGATACTAGTGCTGGGGAGCAGCTGCAAATGTAATTAACGTAATGCACTTAAATCATCCCCAAACCATTCTCCTTCCTCCTCAGTCTGTGGAAAAATTTTTTTCTATGAAACTGGTCCCTGGTGCCAAAAAGGTTGGGGGATAACTGATTTATGGTAAATAAAGGTATGAGAGCAAGGTCCATATTTTATTAAATAAAGTTTAGGCACTTTTAAATACCATCATTGGTGTACAAATTTTGACAAACTTTCACTGGAAAATTCACATCTACCAAATTCTAAATTGAATATTGCTTTTGCATAATTCTAATTTTAGAAATATTTTCTTTAGAAACATCTAAACCAGTGTTCAAGAATGTTCATGAGTCATTATGTGGAATTAAAAAAATTAATCCATATATCCATGAGTAATAAATTGAACAAATATACTATAGTTAATTCATTAAAAAATTGTACATGCATTAAAAAGAATGAGGTATATCTATCAAAAATGTGGACACAAAGCCACAAAATATTATCAAGCATAGTAATAAGGTGTAGAACAGTACACTAATACATATGCATATGCAAACAATTTTGAGATATGCAAACCACCAATAGTGGTTAAAGGGCAGGAAATCAAATTATGTAGAATTTTTGTTTTAAATTTCTTAAACCTTTGTATTATTTGAAAGTTTTACAAAGATAATTTGTGGAAAAATGTTTCAGAAGACAAAAAATTTGCTCAACAAGTCATGAGTTATTTCATAAAACCTAATTTGTTGGATAAAAGCAAAGTCTAAATAGGCATGCAAAATGGGAATTATAGAAAAGACACCACAGCAAAGAAACAAAGTGAGCATAAGATTCAAAGTTTACTATAGAAATTGCAAAGTAAATTTATATAAACCATTTTACATGTAAAACTGACTTTGGAGCACCACCGTAGAGTTTAGCAGTCACACTAGATCAGGGGTCCTCAAACTTTTTAAACAGGGGGCCAGTTCACTGTCCCTCAGACCATTGGAGGGCCGGACTATAGTTTTAAAAAAACTATGAACAAATTCCTATGCACACTGCACATATCTTATTTTGAAGTAAAAAAACAAACGGGCAGAAACACCCGCATGTGGCCCACGACAGGCCATAGTTTGAGGACACCTGTACTAAATCATAGTAGTTCCTGATGGCAAAAAAAGTGGATCCTTCAGAAGGATTCAGGATCCTTCTGAAACCTGTCAAAAACTCTAGACAGAAGCTAACCAACTTATTACTAATGGCGGAATCAAGATATAATGCATTTGATCATTAAATTCCTTTTGGAAAATGAACAAAAGTCAGGTTAGTGTCTTTTTATTCTATCTTAAATTTCTTTGAATAATTATAATCTAGACCCAAAAATATCACATTGTGCAATTACTTCAAAACCTTTATATTTTTTTTCATTGTAGATACCAAAGTCTGGATTTTGAGTAGGTGAGTGCATATCTATATTTAGAATAAATTTGCTAATTGAAAACAAGCTTATATCCTCATGGGTACAAAAAATTAATTTCCTCACCTTTGGAGATTTAACTAGAAGATAATCAAGGACTCAAAAAAATATTAAAGCTAAAATGTCCTTAAGAAACTGTCTGCTTTATTGCTTTAATTATACTGTGGTTTATGCTACAGTAACCCAATCATAGTCTTAGTGCTCAAAGTTAAAGTGATCTTAAGAGAAATTAATTAGTTTACATATCAGATAAAATTTATCTTTTGAAGAGTAACCGCCTTATAAAGCCTCCCTGATAATAATTTATTGCATTTTTAAAACTTTTAAACGTTAACTACATATAATACAATATCCTTAGTGATTTATTTCAAATTTTAACTCACTATCAAAATATTCTTATTTCTGGTGTTAGGAACCTCATTATTGATCTAGGTCAAAGCTGTGTTGTGTTGAATGATCTGTGTAAGCAGTGATTGAAATCGGGGCAAACAAAGTGAGACAAACAACTGCCACGGTTGAGTCATGGACAGGCACTCTGAACAGGAACAAGTATCTGAAAACAGAGGCAATTTGTGTCTGCAAACCAGATCCCAGACTGTCAGAAGCAGCATGTCAGACATCCCCTAATTCAGAAGTCGCAGAGTGTCGGGTAGTAGCAATCTGATGCCTTGAATAATTTAACTGGCAGTGAAATTTTCTTTGCTGTCATCTCTGCTGGCAAACTGCTCTCAAAACCAATCCCCTGCCTTCTCTTGCTTCATGTGCTTTTATGGGGAACTCTTTTCCTCTGGGTTCTGAGTAGGTTGGGTCAATGGCAAACATAGTTGGATGACTGGATAGTCAAAGGAAGACAGAAGGATATAGCTCCCCACCACACCTGTGAGTATATCCTCCATGGTTTCACCTCGACTGGAAAGGTCCGCTATGGTTCCAGTTTTCACTTGGTGTTTCAGGATCTTGTTCTATAACAGATGTTCTTCCCGTGGTACCTCCAGTCCAGGGTCTGTAGCCCCAGATGAACCAGGCTAGCTTAACCTCACTTTGAAATAGCCTTTCTTTTATTATGGGGCTGTGTTTAATATAGGTTATCTATGGGGGAAAAGAAGGAGGAGTTCGCTCTCTGTCATCAGAAAATTATCTCTGCCCTGGAATAAAGAAGCTTTAGTTCAGGAATTGCTATTATGATATATTATAATAACTAACATTGGTAAAGGAGGGTACAATTTAAAAATACATTCACATATATTATCTGCAACTTATTGTGGACTGATACATCTTCTGTGCAAAATGCTAAAGTGATATTGATGTATAAGTCATATGTCATTTTATCATGCACATTTATTTGGAAGCATCTGTCGGTGTTTGAGAAAAAGAAGAATAACAATTTTCTCTCTTTTTGCTTTCTCTCAAATCAGTCTAATTGTGTCTAGTGTATCTCTTTTATTTCTGTATATAGGTGATGACTTTGGAAGCTCATGAGATAAAGGTGATGGCAATTAATCATTTCATATTCTAGGCTGTAGAATGATGAGAATCCACATCACACACATTGGAAAAGTTTGTACAATAGTAGAGCTATTTGCACAATAACATGTCAAATGATACAAAATAGCAATCATGAAGGATGAGTCTAGAGATCTAATATACAACATGAGGACTATGGTCAATAAAATAGTATTGTATTAGGAATTTTTGTTAAATAAGTATATTTTAGCTGCTCTTGTCACAAAAAATTGTGAAGATGTGAGATGTTAGATATGTTAATCTGCTTCACTATAGTAACCATTTTACTATCTATATGTATCTCATAACATCTGATTAAAAACCTCTAATATACACAATAACATTTATTTAAAATAATATACTATAATTCCCACATAGGACGGTTTAAAACATAAAGGTCTACATGATTTTGAACAGTGTTTTAATTTTGTAGATCTTAGGACTTTCTTTTAAAATCAGTGTGTGTATACCTTGTCAAAAACAGAAATAAAATGTAAAATTCTTTCTGTGATTATTGCTCTTGAATTTTGACACAAAAATATTACCTTTCTATAATTTCTTCTTATAAATTCTTCTGATCACATTCACTCCCTCTCATATTTTCCAAAAATGTTTTCTCTATTACATGAGTTATTATATCAAGATACTCTAATTTTTATTTAAATATCTAGAAGGCAAGAAGTAGTAAAAGTGCTTATCGCATTAAATTTTTTTTTCATTTTTTCTCTGTTTCTTTCATTTTATTTTTTTTTTCTTATACAGTCTATGCATCTGGGGTTTGTTTGCCAAAAGACTGCTTCTTGCTTATGCATAGTCTGTTCACCTTCATTGACTACTATATTTCTCAGAGTTCTATTTCCTTCCAGTATTAAATATTTAGCAAATTTTCTTCATCAGTATTGGCTATATCACATCTCACTATTTGACAAAGATACTAGAGTTTTCTTACATTGATTCCTCACCCTCCAACAACTTACTTGCAGTACTAGTTTATTAACATCAATCAGTTTAGATGTACCACTGTACTACGATTAGAGTTTCCCCCTAATAACAGGAATACCCAAATGAGCTAAAAACTACTATTAAGCTAAAACTAATTTTCTCTTTTGTCTTTAGCATATGAATGTTTCTTATTACTCTAGCTGCATTTTCCTCTTCTGTTTTGAAAGTGATTGGTCCCATTGACAGACCAGCTCATGTGTGGTCCAAACCAGTGTTGCATTTTACTGGCTTTAGCAATATTGCTTCCTTTGCAAAAATATTTAGCTTATCTAGAACTGATGATTCAATTCACAAGAAAAAAATGTAATTACTAAATCAAATATCTCTCTTCTGGGCTCTTTTACTGAAAGTTAAAACTTGCCACACTTGAATTCCTGCACTTTAAATTAGTATTCTATTATATTATTCAGAATGTTTTTAGCCAAGAGACTAAACTTCTTCCCCAACTTCAGTGTTTTTTTCACACAATGAATAAAAACTTTACTCATCAAGATTTTTTCCAAGTTGACATTCATGAACAAATGATATGTAAATGTTAATATATGTAAAATAAATTTTAAATCATTCAATTATTTGAATAGTGGTTACAATTGGTTTGTTCATATAATGAATAGTCATAATACTTCCCTTTAGCAAATGAGCTCTTTATAATTCAGTATAGTAGACACTTGGGAATTAGTTAAGCATTTTTCTGAAATTGAAATACATGACTTTTATTAAACACAACTTTTATTCATCCAGATTACTGTTTTATATAGATATGCCATAAGACTAATCTATAAAAAATATATAACATGAAGGCCTCAAATGCACTCTCACATGTGGCTTACCACATTTTCTTAATATTTTTAGAATATCATGGCCCCTCATGGTGTCTTACACCAGCAGACAGAGGATTGTGTCAAGCCAATGAGAACAGATTCTACTACAATTCAGTCATTGGGAAATGCCGCCCATTTAAGTACAGTGGATGTGGGGGAAATGAAAATAACTTCACTTCTAAAAAAGCATGTCTTAGGACATGTAAAAAAGGTATGGAGGATATTTTCCCATGAATTCACTAGTGTTTGAAATAACAATTGTATTGAAATTATAAATGAATTTTATTCTATTAAAAATATCATGGAACTGTTCTTTTTATTATAAAAAACAAAGTATTATTTAGCTAATAAATATTCTGTTTTCAAATAAATTTACATAATATTGCTGGATATATTACTATATTTCCTATTAATATGTCTTCATAGAAAAAGAAGCAATTCAGGGCAAATTAAACATGTTATTCACTTAATGTTTAAATACTAAGTATTCATTTTAAATGATTATACCAAAATACCTATAAGCTTTCTTATAATGCACAAAATTTTAATGTATTTATTAGTTTCCTCTGAATGTACAAATGATACATGTTTATAATAGAATAGAAAGTATGAAAATGTAAATAAAAATCATCTGTAATTATGTTAACCATATACAGTTATATTTATACTTTTTTAAATAAAGTAGCATGGATTTCTAACTGTAGATGAACTATTAATAAAAATCAACCACATGCGTATCCATTTTTATTAACTCATATATGCAAAATGACTTCCTTAGAAATAGGGTGTTCTATACAAAGGCAAATTAAAGGCTTTAAACTAATATTTTTGTTTGAAATATTAAAAGATAACTTGAGAAAACTTTAGATAAAATGCTCCATTGTGTTACTTCATCATACATAAATTTGTTACTCTTCTTTTTATAGGTTTCATCCAAAGAATATCTAAAGGAGGACTAATTAAAACCAAAAGAAAGAGAAAGAAGCAGTCAGTGAAAATAGTATATGAAGAAATTTTTGTTAAAAAGATATAAATTATACCCTGGTTTCTTTTTTGGATCAAATAATTCTTTTGCCTTTTACTAAAGATTTCTGTGGAGAGGAACAACTCTGAGTTTTTGATCAATTTTTTGAGGCCTGCTTTGGCAAGGCTAATAAAAAGAGGACATAAATTTTTTATATTATTGGAACATTAATTCTACTAAATATTTTACACAGAATGTTTCACTATGATTTTCTATTTTTTCCTTTGCTAAAATACTTTAAAGGGATGTGTTCATGAAGCAATTTTCTATGCTTATGGTACTTGCTAGTAATACATTTGCACCAGAGTTTCTTTTCTAACTTGGCCAAATTGCTTGTTCTAGGTCTATAATTTATTAACTGGCTAATGTGAATTTACTATTCTCTTGATCCTTTTTTAGCTGTCATTTAACTACAAATTATCAAACTGCTGGCCACATCAAATAGTCCACTTTTTCATTTCCCTTATTTTTTTATGATCATATGTATGATGATCTCCTTTATAGCCTGTGACCACCTTAAGAAATACAGCTATTAACAGACAAGTACTTTTTGGATTTCACATCTGAAATGGTGACAAACACCTGCTTCTGATAAAGATCACTCAATTGTGCATTTGGAAGGAACTTGTTGATAATACAATCCTATTTTGTGCTTCCCTCCCTAGATTATACTTATCTTTTTTTGTACCAACCAATACTTCCATCAATATTGATCCAAACTCTCTTTGAACAAAGGACAGTCAACTCTACTTCATGTGCCTGCCTGATTTGGATTGGTCTAACTTTTTTTTGTTGTTTGATTATAGGCCATACTGTCAGTCAAAATAATTGAATAATTATGTGTTAAATATATCTCATAAGAAGAAGAAACTTTATGAAATAGAAATGTTTTAATGGCAATCAAAAGACACTTTTTAATATGCACTTCCTAATTTTATTGCTTGACAAAATTTTCTCTTACTAAAAATAGTAAGAATAATTAAACCTGCTCAAATTTACTCATTTATCATTAGGCTTTGCACACTATGTAACTAGTAAATTATGCTCAAAAAAGTATGTTATTTCTATAGAAGAGAAAATTATTAGTAAGGAAATTTCTACTAGAAAACCCATGTGCTATTCACCCTTGGGCTTAACACTTCTCTGTAGTTAATTTACTAAATCCAGACCTGTGTCTTTCTCTGCTGAGCCGTGTGCAGTCTGGCATCTCAACAGCCTCTGAGACATTGATTTCTGTGGTGTTCACCTCAAATTTCCCATTTAAATCTGAACTTGTCATTTAGAAACAACTTATCACCTCATCCATTTGGTTTCTCTTCATGACTTCTCTCTAACAATAGTATTATAATTCTGTCTGTTCCTCAGTCTTGAAAGTTTGAACTCAATTTTTCTTTCATTTCCCCTCATATACCACCTCTAATCAGTCTCCAAATCTTATTTCCTTCTTCAAAAGATTCATCCAAACCCTAGGCTTTTTACTCTTTACTGTATCATTTAAATCATTATTGAGTTATTCCTTGAAATTTCTTATATTTCTCCACTACTCAAAATCCCCCCAAGACTCACTTGTTGGTACTTAACTGTACAACCCTCACCCCCACAATTTAATTTTGATATATACTTTTGGATTTACCAACCATAGTTTCTCTCTCATGGCTACTTCAGTTTAGTGAAGAGCAGTCACTATTCACTGAATATAATCTTAATTACTCAGCTTATTTTATGCTGATTTCCTATTTAAAAATCTGATCCCCTCCAGGCATTTCATATGAAGTCGGGGTGTAGCTGCTGTCAGCTACAGAGTCACTTGTTTCAAGATGGAGTATGAAAAGTCCCAACATATGATTCCAAATTACTTTCGACTATGGCATAAGATATTCAGATTACTACCGAATACTGTCAATTTGTTTACCTTAAGGAAAATTTTATATCTTGATTTAAAATGTTCAGTACATAAATAATTGCCTTAAATTGGGTCTTTGTTGTAGTATTTGAGATTTTTAGAAATCAAAAGCCCTTGTGAAATATGCTCTGTTGTCATTTATTTAGGAATAGTAATAGTTTTAAATAAGTAGCAAAATCTCCTTAGGTCATGTGGCAAGTTGCCACCAAGGACATAGAAACAGCACATTGGTGCATCAACTGATTGCTTTCTCCAACAATAATTACTGAGTTCATCAGTTCATTACTCAGTTAAGAAAGACATATACTGAGATGATTTGCAATGTATAATGCATATGAATGTTATTTTTACTGTGTTTTTTTTTTATTTCGGCATATTATGGGGGTACAGATTTTAAGGTTTGAATAAATGCCCTCCCCCCTCCAAGTCTGAGTTTCCAGCATGACCATCCCTCAGATGGTGTGCATATCACTCATTATGTATGTATATACCCGCCCCCCCTCCCCCCTCCCCAATACCCTATTACTGTAGTACCTATGTGTCCACTTAGATGCTGCTCAGTTAATACCAGTTTGCTGGAGAATATATCTGGTGCTTGTTTTTCCATTCTTGGGATACTTCACTTAGTAATATGGTTCCACTCTAACCAGGAAAATATAAGATGGTGCTATATCACCATGTTTTCTTAGAGCTGAATAGTACTCCATGGTATACATATACCACATTTTATATAATCCATTCTTGGATTGATGGCACACTTGGGCTGTTTCCACAGCCTGCGATTATGAATTGGCTTATAAACATTCAAGTGCAGGTGTCTTTTTTAGAGTGTCATTGGATCATTTGGGTAGATGCGCAGCAATGGGATTGCTGGATCAAGATGTAGAGATTCATGTGTATCGCTTATAAGGTATCTCCATATTGCTTTCCACCAGAGGTTGAACTGTTTGCAGTCCCACCAGCAGTGTAGGAGTGTTCCTCTCTCCTCCACATCCACCCAGCATTGTTATTTGGAGACTTTTTGATAAAGGCCATCCTCCACTGGAGTTAAGTGATATCTCATTGATATTTGATTTGCATTTCCCTGATGATTAGAGATGATGAGCATTTTTTCATATGTTTGTTGGCCATTCTTGTCTTCTTCAGAAAAGTTTCTGTTCAAGTCTTTGCCCACTTTTTAATAGGGTTATTTGATTTTTCTTGCTGATTTTCATGAGTTATAAGTATATTCTAGTTATCAGCCTTTATCGGATACTAGAATGCAAAAATTCTCCCATTCTGTAGGTGACTGTTTACTTTCATGACTGTTTCTTTGGCTATGCAGAACTTTGTAGTTTCATCATGTCCCATTTATTTATTTTTGTGCTGCTTGATGCCTTTGGGGATTTCTTCATAACTCTTTGCCTAGGCCGATGTCTAGGAGAGTGTTTCCAACATTTTCCTTAGATCATATGGTTTCATACCTGAGATTTAAGTCTGTTATCCAGCGTGAGTTGATTTTGTGAGAGGTGAAAGTTGTGGGTCCTGTTTTAACCTTCTACAAGTGGCTATCCAGTATTCCCAGCACCATTTATTGAAAAGGATTCTTTTCCCCAGAGTATGTTTTGTCTATTTGTCAAAGATTAGATGCTATATGAGGATGGTTTTATATCAGGATTCTCATCATCTGTTCCACTGGACAATAATCCTATTTTTTGCCAATACCAGATTGTTTTATTACAACAGCTTTTTAGTATAGTTTCATATCTGGTATTAATAGTCCCAATATGTTTTTGTTGCCTGAATTGCTCTTGATATCGGGGTCTTCTTTGGTTCCATACAAAGCGTAACATTATTTTCTATATCTGTGAGAATGCTGATGGGATTTTAATAGGTATTGCGTTGAATCTGTAGATCAGTTTGGGTAATATAGACATTTTAATGATGTTGAGTCTGCCGATCCATGAGCATGGAATGGATTTCCATCTATTTACATCTCTGCTATTCTCTCCTCCTCGTTTCATAGTTCTCCCTGTAGAGGACTTTACCTCCTTGGTTAAGTATTTCCTAGGTATTTAATTTCTTTGTTGCTATTGTGAAGGGTATTGAGTCTTATAATTGGTTTCCGTTGATTGTTGTATATATGACTTCTGATTTCTGTGTATGTTTTGTATCCTGAGACTTGCTAATTCATTTGTCAGTTCCAGGTTTCCTGGTTGAATCTTTGGGGTTTTCTAAATATAATATTATATATCATCCAGCAAATAGTGAAAGTTGATCTCTTCTGCCCCTATTTGGATACCTTTAATTCCACTTCCTGTCTGATTGCTGTAGCCAGAACTTCCAGTACTATGTTGAATAGAAGTGGAGATAGTGGGCAGCCTGTCTGGTTCCAGTTCTAAGTGGGAATGCTTTCAGTTTTTCCCATTCAGTATGATGTTGGCTATGGGTCTGTCATAATGGCTTGTATCATTTTTAGGTATGTCCCTTCTATGCCTATTTTCTTCAGTGTTTGTATCATGAAGGGGTGTTGAATGTTGTCAAAAGCTTTTTCTGCATCTATTGAAAGAATCATGTGGTCTCTGTTTTTGCTTCTGTTTATGTGGTGAATTGCATTTATAGATTTGCGTATGTTGAACCATCCCTGCATTCCTGGGATGAAGCCCACTTGGTCATGATGGATTATTTTTTTGATAAGTGTCTGGATTCGGTTAGCTAAGATTTTGTTGACATTTTTGCATCTATATTCATTAGGGATATTGGTCTGTAGTTTTCTTTTTTGTTGCATCCTTTCCTGTTTTGGTATCAGAGTAATATTCGCTTCATAAAAGGTGTCGGGGAGGTTCCGTTCTCTCGAGTGTTGTGGAATAGTTTCTGCAGATAGGTACTAGTTCTTCTTTGTAATGTGGTAAATTCGGGTGTGAAGCCATCTGGACGGGACTTTTCTTTTTAGGGAGATTTTAATTGCTGTTTCTATGTCAGCTGTTGAGATTGGTTTGTTCAGGGAATCTATTTCTTCCTGATTGAGGCTAGGGAGGCTGTGTGTTGCTAGAAATTTGTCTATTTCCTCCACATTTTCCAGTTTGTGTGCATAAATATCTTTGTAGTACTTATAAATTATATCTTGTATCTCTTTGGGATCAGTTTGTGTATCTCCTTTTATTCCTGATGGAGCTTATTAGAGATTTCTCTTTCTGCTTTTCGTTAGCTTTAGCCAGTGGCGTGTCAATTTTGTTATTTCAAGAACCAACTTTTGTTTGTTAATCTCCTGAATAGCTTCCTGTTTTCAATTTCATTTAGTTCTGATTTGATCTTGTTGATTCACTCCTTCTGCTGAGTTTGGGTTGGTCTGTTCTTCTTTTTCCAGCTCTTTGAGTCCTTTCATTAGATTGTCTATTTGTGATCTTTTTGACTTTTGGTCATAGGCATTTATGGAGATAAACTTTCCTCTCAGAACTGCTTTAGCTGTGTCCCAGAGGAGTTGATAACTTGTGTCTCCATTGTCGTTTTCTTCATAGAAGTTTTTATTTCCGTCTTGATTTCTTCATTTACAAGTAATCATTTAGTAGGAGGTTGTTTAATTTCCACGTTTTTGTGTAGAATGTGTGTTTTCTGTTAGGGTTGATTTCTAGTTTATTCCACTGTGATCTGAGAAGGTACATGGTATGATTTCTATTTTTTTAAATTTCTTGAGATTTTCTTTGTGTCCTAGGATATGGTCAATCTTAGAGAATGTCCCATGAGCTGATGAGAAGAACGTATATTCAGTGGATTTTGGGTAGAATGTTCTGTAGATGTCTGTCAGGCCAATTGTTCTAGAGTTTTGTTTAAGTCCATTATTCTTTAATTTCTGTTTGGAGGATCTGTCTTGAGCCGTCAGTGGGGTGTTGAAATCTCGGCAATTATGAGTTGCTATTAATCCATTTGCTTAGATCACAGGTTTGGCTTTATGAAACTGGGTACACCTAAGTTGGGTGCATATATATTTAAAATTGTTATCTCTTCTTGTTGAACTGTGCCGTTCACCATTATGTAATGACCCTCTTTGTCTTTCACAACTTTTGTTGTTTTAAAAACTAAATTGTCTGAAATTAGAACAGCCACGCCAGCCTTCTTTTGGCTTCCACTTGCCTGGAATATTGATCTCTACCCTTTTACTTTTAGTCTATATGCATCCTTGCAGGTTAGATGTGTTTCCTGAAGACAGCATATACTTGGCCTGTATTTTCTTATCCATTCAGCCAGCCTATGTCTCTTGAGTGGAGAGTTTAAGCCATTCACATTTATTGAGAGAACTGATAGGTAAGGTGATTACTGTTCATTCTGTTGGTTGGATGTTGTTGCTTTGATTTCTCTTGATCCATAGAGATATCTGCCTTTAATCTTGGTGTTGGTTTTTTTATATCCGTGAGTTTCTATTATGGTGTTCGCGTGTGTAACACTGTTTGAGTACTTCTTCTAGGGCTGGTCTTGTCTGGTGAATTCTCTGAGCTTTGCTTGTCTGGGAATGTCTTTATTTCTCCTTCATATATGAAGCTTAGTTTTGCAGGGAATGAGTTCTAGGCTGGCATTGTTTTGTTTCAGAAGAGTGAGAATGGGGCCCCAGTCTCTCTTTGCTTGTAAAGTGTCATTAGAGAAGTCTGGTGTTATTCGTATTGGCTTTCCCTTGTAGGTTACTTGCTTCTTTCTTCTTACAGCTCTTAGAAGGGCCTCTTTAGTTGATATTTTGGTCAGTCTGATGACTGCATGACATGACGTCTTCCTGTTTGCATTGAATCTCCCAGGGGTCCCCTGGGCTTCTTGAACTTGTATATCGAGATTTTGAGCAAGGCCTGGGAAATTTTCCTCTATTATATCTTCAAAAAGCTTGTCCAGCCCTTCAGTGTTGTCTTCCTGCCCTTCTGCTAACCCTATGACCCTCATGTTAGGTTTTTTCACATAATCCCACAGCTCTTGTAGGCTTTGGTCTTTTCTCTTGTTTCTCTGCTGTATTTCTGAGACTGATTTATTTAATTGGAAAGTGTTATCTTCAATCTCTGAGATTCTTTCTTCTGCTTGATCTACCCTGTTCTTGAGACTTTCCACAGTATTTTG